AAACATTGTATTTGAATTTCCTCTTTCATAATAACCACATTGCCTAGTACATATTCATTACAAGCATAACAATTAACGCTTCACAGTTATTAAACAGTAAGGTATTATCACGTCAGTTTTCGGAGATAACTGTTTGGACATTTTTCTGCTTTGTCAAACGCCAATTATCATAGATCACTTTGGGTTAACATGGAAACTGGTTCCCCTATTACAAACAACTGATAGCTATTGATTGAAAACGAAATTGCAATTTTTTTAGAAAGGAAGGAAAACGTTGCTGTCTTTCTTTCAATATAAAACCAGGCAGAAAATTGTCCGAAACAAGTTGTTCATTGAACAAATGCCGTGGATAGGGTCTCAGACTCATTACTCATCTAACATTTCACCCAGAAACAAGGGTAAAAATTTTTCAGCTGCCTTCCACTGAAATTAAAAAAAAATCATTTATAAAAAAATCTTTAAAAGGATGATTCAAGTATTGAAAAATCTTAGATCATAACTTGTATACACACAAAATATATTATTTTTATACCAATAAAATAATATGTTGTTCAGTGCTGAATGAATTATTTAACAATAGGAGGGGTCAATGGTGTGAAATCACATCATAATATAAGAGAATTTTAAAAAATGAAATAAGGGGTTTTTATTTAAATTTTATTATTTAGTTAAGATAATTCCTACTAACTTTATTCATATATTCAACTCTGAAACACACTTTCGACCAACTTATCTGGCTACTATAGTCTGTGTAGTCAGCTTGACAGATACATCAGCAATGATGATGGCAGTCATAATTGTTATCTTGCTTCTGGTATTTGCAGAAACTACATGTTTCTACAACTTGCATATGCATACTACTTTTCACAGAGAAATATACAATTTAGAAGAACAATTTTGCAATAATATAGATACATGAAAACAATCAAGATACTTTATTAAAGTGCAATGTTATAATCATTGATGAAAAATACCTCATCAAAATTACTTTATTGTTGACTTTATATTACTTTAGGATATTAAAACATCATCAATTCCTACATGCGTCAATCATCTGCCTTTTAAAATAAAACTTGTTACATTTAATATTTCAACAGGTTTTTCGCTAATAGAATTTGATAATATAAGGAGTTAAGTAATTTTGAGCTAATTATATTTTATTTTTACCAATTTTTTACAGTTATACCACAATTCATTACATTTACGAGTTCATTACATTATTTTATTAACTTCAACCAAAACATTCACACATTTGAGATAAAAGACTCAATACCTTGCATCAGTTTTAGCTGTATAAATTACGCTAATAACTTTCTTCTGAAGTTCTCGAAAATGAGTGTTTCTTTTTGAAAAATTAAACAGTAAGGAAACATTCTTAAAAAACATCTTAAATGCTACATTATATAGAAATTTAGGAAAGTTAAAGAACTGTATATGTGCAAAATACAATATATCACATATTGCACTATCCATATCAAATTTACTGAAATGGGAAAATATATACTACCTGAAAGCAATCTCGCAATAGCATTGGTTTGAAGCTCGCGCTATCCACTGGAGCAACTGCATTACGCTGACTTCCTTACCCATTTTGTGCACTCTTCAATTTAACTTGATCGTATCGTTCAACTTTCCAGTTGTTGGAGCATACAGGAAAAAAATCTAATTTTACACAGAATTACTTTCATTGCACATTACTCTACGAACTTAACGCCGATTTGTTACATCAATGGCGGTACATCTACACTACCGTATTATCTCTTTTCAATCGCGCCACATAAAATACGCCAAATTTGTTCGGGCAGCGCAGTATGCGACATTCGTTTACACGTTAATCAATTGCGGTTTGCATTACGCTCCCGTCGCTGCAATTACTTTCCGAGAGAATCCATGAATTTGAATTCCGATCTCCAAGCGCAACCCTTATGGTGGACAAAGAACTATGTCTTTCAACAATATGTGTTCGCGATCGTGTGATGGATGTGAATTTCCAATATGTTTTCGTAAATTCAAACGGAAACCTACAGTTAAGCAATACTTCATTAAAAATATCAGCTGAACAGTTTCGTGAGCTGCTAAAAAATAACGAGAAAAAATATCTATGTGTTTACGAGAAAGAATTTTTGGAACTCCCTTTATAAAAGCAATACGTGAACAATTGGTGATTTGCGGAGAAACTGACATCGGAGAAAACGTCGCGGAAATAGAAATAAATTTAAAGAAATCTCTTCTGAAATTGCTTGAGGAAAATGTGTCACGGCAAATGAATAAAATTCCAGTGTTTTGTGATGCATGTGAGAGTGAAGAATTGGTGGATAATCAACTTGGCCACACGTGTGGAGAACAAAAACTGAAAAACTTTGATAAAGCTGTTGCACTTTTAAATATTCAAGATCTAGCCGCTGATTTCGTAAGATGCAATGAAAAATTTTATGCTTATATGAATGACTCTTTTGTGCACAATTTAAATGCAGTAGAACTTTTTGATTTATGTAAATTCCATTTAACATTGACAAATCTGTAAACGTAAGTAAATTTCTGCATAAATATGCACATTCTTTTATTATTATTATTATTGTAATGGCTATCTAGAGTTATGTTTTATTTTATTTGTTTTAAAGGCTAAAAATACTTTTACTAAATTATAATGATTTTCACGTAGCTTGTTTCCTTAGTGTTGATCTTAGAAAATTAAAATTATATTTATACAATATATAGATTGAGTGATTATTTAAGAATATGTACTTTTAACTTTTCTTAACGTTATAAACAATCGCTTCGAGAAATTTCTGTCATTTATGCATGTAGTGTGAAAGTGAATGTGTTCATTTTGTAAAAGTGAGAAAAATTATGGATAGTATTATAGAAACTTATAAAGATCCAAGAAAACCGGAAAGTTTCGGTGGAATAAATGCGTTGTACCGTATCGGGGAAAAGAAAGTTTCAAAAAGTAAAATTGGGAAGTGGCTGGAAAGTAATGATGCGTACACGCTTCATAAACCTGTGAAAAAAACGTTTAAAAGAAATCGTGTCATTGTTGGTCATATAGATCAACAATGGCAAGCAGACTTAGTAGATCTCAGCAATTTAGCAAAGCATAATAATGGTTTAAAATATTTATTAACATGTGTTGATATCTTATCGAAATATGCATGGGCAACACCTCTGAAAAATAAAACTAGTAAAAGCATTATAAATGCCTTTGAAAAAAATATTTTCTGAACGCAAACCGAAATTTTTTTACAAACAGATAAAGGAAGGAATTTCTAAACATAAATTTTCAAAATTATTTAAAAAGTCTGAAAATTATGTTCTTTACTACATACAGTGAACTGAAAGCGAGTGTTGTTGAGCGATTTAATCGCACCCTTAAAACAAAGATGTGGAAATATTTCACACAATTCAATACACGTAAGTATATTGATGTTTTAGACGACTTAGTGCATAGTTACAATCATTCTGTACATAGAAGTATTAAAATGAAACCAGTATCTGTAACGAAAGAAAATGAAAAGTTAGTATGCAAAAATTTATATGGACGTATTGAAAATCCTAAGTCACCTCGTCTTAAGGTGGGGGATATTGTAAGAATAAGCAAACAGAAAATGAAATTCGAAAAAGGTTATGAGCAAAACTGGTCTCGAGAATTATTTAGCATTTATGAAGTATTAGAACGCGAGATTCCTGTTTATAAGTTAAAAGATTTATCGAATGAAATCATTAAAGGTTCATTTTATGAGCAGGAATTACAGAAAGTGAATGATAGCGGGTATTACCTTGTTGAAAATGTTTTGAAGAAACGGAAGGTAGGGGGGAAAACAGAATATTTTGTAAAATTTGAAGGGTATCCTAAAAAATTTAACGCTTGGGTCTCTGATGTGAAAATGGTATAAAGCTGTGAAATACACTTTTAATAATTAGTTGGAATCATGTCTTTCTATATGACACTCGTAAGCGATTCTTCTCTACACTACTTCCCTGAAAATAAAATTTCCCATTTCATTACGCAGTTACCATCTAGTATAAATCTCAATGGAGAGTTCGAGGTAGGCATTTCCGAAATAATTTACCCCACATTCGTGGCACAACATAAACGAAAACAACAATTTATTTGGCTTCGACTTGGGGGATGGGAAAACTATTTCAAGACGCATTCCTGCAGGTTATTTATGAAAACCATTCCAGATTTAATTAAAGCTATCATGATTCCCGATCTAAGAGGTAAAGTTGAATTCAATTACAACAGTGTGACGAAGCGTGTAAGAGTAAAAACATTAAAAAATACTAAAATAATTTTGACAGAAGGAATCAGTGAAATTTTAGGATTTGAACCGACAGAAATTCAAGGCGTGGCTGATAGTCCGTACGTAGCCGATCCACATGCGTCGTTTCCAGTTATTTATGTATATTCAGATATCGTAGAACCACAACTCGTAGGTGATACTCAAGCACCTCTACTAAGAATAGTGAAAGTTAATGGAAAAGATGGAGAAATGGTAAGTGCTCATTATGAACGTCCGCAGTATGTTCCCGTGATTCGCCAACATTTTCAGACAGTGGAAGTAGAACTTCGATTTAACTCAGGGCAGCTAGTACCATTCGAAAGAGGCAAAGTGTGGCTTGTTTTGCATTTCAGAATGAAACAAATTTTATAAGTATAAACACATGACGCAAAAATTGACATTCACATCTCAGACTTCAAAGAAGATGTATGTTCCATACAACTGTTGCGCAAAAGCTTATGAAGACTTTTATACTACGCAAGTAGGATCTGGGCTTCCTTATTATCAAGGAACTTCTTTTCAAAAAGGGTATGGATTTGGAGGATTTTTTAGACGATTGTTTCGTACTGCGATGCCGTTCTTTATCAAAGGCGCGAAAACAGTAGGGAAAGAAGCTTTGCGAACCGGAACACATATTGCGAGCGATGTGTTATCGGGGAAAGATTTTGAAACCTCAGCTAAAGAAAGAACTCGGGAAGCGAGCAAAACGCTAGCTCAAAGAGCTATAAGAAAAGCGCATGACATGTTAGGCAGCGGAAAACGCAAAAGAAAGCGGAAAATGCCAAAACGTATCATTTCTTCGAAAGCTAGGAAGGTGAAAGGACGTGATATTTTTTATCCGTAATTATGACATTTGTATTGAAAGACTCACCCGAATGCGTCAAATCGGAACTGAATCTATTTCTGACGCCTCCTACTCAAACAGTAGTTGAAAGGGGGCAATGGGTTCAATTTCATCCGTTAGCAAATGTTAGCGATGGGGGTCCTATCGAATTTCACATTTCTGGAGGGAAGATTATTTAGATCTATCAGAAACTCATCTGTATGTAAAAGCAAAAATTCTCAACTCGGATTGTTCACACCTGCAAAAAGATGCCAAAGTTGGACCAGTTAATTTATTTCTCCACTCTTTATTTTCTCAAATCGATGTGAAATTAAATGAAAGGCTGATAACGTCTTCAGATAATACATATCCATATCGAGCACTTATAGAAACGTTACTAAATCATGGTTATGATACTAAAGTATCGCAATTAACTTCGGAATTATTTTATAAAGATACACCAGGCCATATGAACATTGATGGAAATGAAGGATTTAATAAACGAGCTGAATTTTTTAAACTAAGTGCTGCTCTAGATATGATAGGCAGACTGCATCTGGATTTATTTCATCAAGAACGCTTATTACTGAATTTAGTGGATGTCAAATTAAAACTTATTCGCAGTAAACCAGAATTTTGCTTAATGGCGGAAAATGGTGACTACAAAGTCGCACTTGAACACGTTTCACTTTTCGTGCGTAAAGTTCATGTTAGTCCAGCTGTTTCACTAGGACATGCTAAAGCTTTGGAAAAAGGTTCTGCAAAATATCCCATTCAAAGAGTTCTATGCAAAGTATTTTCCATTCCTCAAGGCAATATGTCTTTTGTTCAAGATAATGTATTTGTGGGTCAGATGCCCAAACGTATCATTGTGGCTTGTTTAGATAACGATGCCTTAAACGGAAATTATAAAAAATCGCCTTTCGAATTTAAGCATTACCATATGAATTTTATAGGGGTTTACGTGGATGGGCAGCCTTTACCTTATAATCCAGTTGAGCCTAATTTTGATCAGAACAATTATATTAGAGCATTCCAAAGTTTATTTCTTGGAACTACTAACAGAGAAGACCGAGGAATTGATATATCCAGAGAAGATTATGCCAAAGGATACACATTATTTGCATTCGATTTAAGTCCAGATTTATGCGATGGAGAGCATTTTAATCTTATTCGTCACAGCAATTTAAGACTTGAAGTGAAATTTGGTGTTGCTTTGGAACAGACAATATCAGTTCTCGTTTATGCGGAGTTCGAAAGTGTTCTTGAAATAAATAAGTCAAGGACTGTTTTGTCAGACTTTTAAATGTATGCTTCGGTTATTCAAAAAATTTTATCTCAGGACTCACAGACAGCTCCTTTTTTCCAAGGTGTGTTTTTCCAGCTGATCGCTTACCTATTATCCATGCTACTCCATCTTGTTTTGTTATGAATACAGATCCTCAAGATAAACCTGGGCAGCATTGGGTTGCCTGGTTCATCGAGAACAAATCAACAGCCGAATTCTTCGATTCATATGGGATGCCTCCATCTGTTTATGGTTTTCAAATCAGTAATGTGAAATGGAATAATGTTCCTTTCCAGAGTGTTACTTCAAATGTATGTGGACATTATTGCATCTATTTTCTGCTTAAACGATGTCAAGGACAATCAATGGAACGTATTATTTCTGATTTATCTCAATGTAAAAACAATGATTTTAGACTATTTCAATTTGTTAAAAAAAGATATGGTGTAACAATGAGTTTTAAAAAATAAATTCAATTAATAGCAAAAATGATCTATGTTTTATTCTGCAAATCAGATTCGTAGGTATAAATTTATATATCAGATTATCATATTATATTATGAATGAGTTTTTATTCTTCTTTATCATCTCAACTTAGAAATGTTTCCTGTTTTTATTCTGTTTGTTTCATGAACATAGCATCTTCTTCTCCTGGGTAGCTATAAAAGTGAAATGATATGCTGCTTCTACTTCATTCTAACTGGGATAATTTATATTAACAGACGTTTCTTTTCACTATTTCTTTACTTACCCAACAATTTCAAGAATCATTTTAACAAAGTGTATTTTCAGAATTGTACATCTCATAAATTCTGCTAAATATATTTTACTCTGAAAGCTTAGAAGTACAAAAATTACAAAATTTTTTTATATATAATAATTACAGCTCATTGAAATGATGTGTAAGGAAATTTTCATGATACATAAATACTGTGTACTTTTTCTCACCTTTTCTTATGCATTTGGAAGTATCGTGTTATATTTTATTCATTACCCATCAAATGGAAATGTTGGAAGTTTAGATGCCAATTTTAAAATCAATCAAACCTCTTTAAACCTGTATCACATTTATCAAAGTATAGACCATATTGGCTACATTAAATGTCAAAAATTCCATTATTTTAAAGAAACATTTCCAGACTGTGGTCATGATTTATGTAATTGTGTACAACAATCTTATGAAGTTTTTCATTACTTACTTGTTCTACCTACGCCAAAGGCATCGTGGATTCTAAGAGTGAATGTGATGTTGTAGCTAAAACATTTCTGGGGTGTAAGAAAATAATTTGCAGTGAAGAAAGATAATCTCATTTATAAGTGATAAAAGAACTTTGATGCAGCATAAAATCTTGTATTTTAGCACATTTTGTACAAAATTAGAATTTTAAAAAAAAATAAAATTGTGTTTTTTAAGAATATCTGTGTATTGAAAGAATAAGAAATCTAAGTTTTACACTAATAAAATGTTACATGTTGTTTTCTGACTGAAAGCTGTTCTCTTTTAAATTCTAATTGCATTAACATGTTACATTCTTAGATAATAGAGCTTTTTTTTTTTTTTTTTTTTTTTTTTTTTTAATAAAGAGAAAAAAAATACCATTGAAAGTAAAAGGAAAAAACATTTATTAGTACGTCAACCAGGTTACATTTCTGCGTGCTAACATCCGTTTTGGAAATACAGGAGACAATTTTCTGTTAACTTTTCGTTGCGGTAGTGAACGTTTTGGTAACAGGTATTTATTTTTGATGAAAGAAGTAGGTATACCAAGTTCAGTTAAAGTTCGATGAAATATATCTTGACCTTTAGGAGGATTTTTATTATTTTCTAAAAGGTTAGCCACTAATTCTGCTATATGAGTGTTATGTATAGTATCTCCTCTGTATATTAATTCACCTTTCGCATTCCATGAGATTGTCGATGAATGATTTCTTCTTCTTCTTAAATTCAGAATGTCTTCAGCAGTGCGTTTGAATTTTTCGGGCACATTTTGAAGTATAAGACGTTCCAAAGAATTGGTGTTATGCTTTACATTCACTTCAGTCTCAGCTACGGGTTTTTTTATGGTTGCTTCTTTTTCCTCTTCTTTAGGTTTTACATCTGCAGAGAATGGGTAATGTACATATTTTTGCAAAATTTGAAGATAAATTGTGGCTTTTTCATTTTCTGATAAATCTTTTCTTCTCAAGGTTTTATCCATTTCTTTATCCATATCACTTAAAATTGTCTCCAATGAAACTTATTCAGTCTGTCTTCTGGTACAAGAACCATTTTTCTAGCGTGCTCCATGGATGAGTGTATTTAACACTGAAACTGCTGCTGGAATGAGGAAACTAAGAAATCCTTCCCCTTTTTGAACTAATACTCGTCTTTTTTTTATATAAAGGTGTTTTCTTATCAGCAAGACTTCTTAAAATTCTTTTAAATGGTCTAAGTTTCTTTTTCCTAACACTACTTAAGGGTACATTACCTTTTAAAACATTTCTTGCACATTCGCAAACAGCTTTAATTAAACTATTAGGAGCTTTTCGTAAAATGGAACACTTTGTTCCTCTTTTTCCCAATAGCTTCAGATGCTGCAAATGTTGTTGTGCACAATTTGACATGTTAACGGTTACTGAAAGTCATTTACATCATTAAGCCATTTTTATTTAGAAAGGAAACATGCGTATGCAGCAGCTTTTACAACTGCGCAATGCGGAAAATAAGGCTTATGAAAAGCGCACTTCACATTTGGCTTCGAAATCTCGCTAATTTTAGGACATTCAAAGTCATCTAAGTTATAAATGCTACGACTTGATAAGTATTCAAAAAATTTTGCTTTTTCTAGACCTTTAGTATACATTTTAGGATACATAAATTTGTTTTCTTTCTTTAGCAGAAAGCTCTTCTGAAGGTTTAGGTGGAAGGAAAGTCCAGCAGCCATGGGAACCATCGTAAACAGAAATAAACGAAAGCTCTTTTATAACATAACAGTTAGGCTTTAACTGAAATCAATCACAATTCAGTTAAAGCCTAACTGTTATGTCAATCACGAAATCAATCACCTTCGAAATCAATCACAGCAGCCATCTACAGCGTAGAACGTCTAAATGATTTAGCGCGGTACGTAGGCGTAATATATATCGTCTGGAAAGATACCAGTGCGCAGTCTCAAATCGTCCTTTGTTTGAGGCATTAAGTCAATTAGCAAATAACTATAAGGCTTAAGAGTGGCATCGTAATACACTTCCTGGAAAAATTTGGCGCGACCTGGATATAACTGACGCCCCAAATGAGAGATTTGGCTAACATCTCTCGGATTTTTAAATAAAACAATGTAATGTGCATTTAAAGATATTTCACGCATTTCCTTACCCTTATGAAATAAATTTTGCACGATAAAAATTACAGAAATATTCTTATGATGGCTGTCTTTCGTAAACAGACGTGTTAATTTAGGGGTTACTTCCCAATTCACTCATTAAATCGTCAATAATAACCACAGCATTAGAAATATCTTGGATATTCGAAGGGAAGTCCTTCCACAAATGTAACTCCTCGTATTTCGTCATACAGTTCTTGATATACACCCATAACACCAAATAATTTGTGAAGGTAAAGGATAAATAATACGATGATCAATAATTTTCTTCACAAAATGGGTTTTCCCGCATCCTGTGGGGCCCGCAACGACACAGGTAAATGGATGTTTCAATGACGGAATCTCCATCTTAAAGAAGTTCATTACATAGAAACATAAATGTTATATCTAAAAGTTGTTCATTTTAAGAAAACTAATAAATCCTTCATTCACTCATAATGACTACCGTGGAACCAATGAAATTCTAAAGAAAATAAAATAAGCGCATGTCGTTTTTCTATGACGTAGCAATTACGCTACCCCCATCCACCTCCTGATAAGGCTCCCTGTCCCCATTTTCAGATAAGCCTCCCTTCCACGGCTGAGCTTTCCTTCTCGGGAGCTCCTCAACTCCGCTCCCTATCCGAACTCTCATTTCCTCAATTACATTAAAAGTCCCTTTAGGAGATCGCCTTTTGTGAGCTTTTTCGGATTCAAGCCTATCCCCTACCTGAGTGCTTCTAATCCTCCAGTCCTTACCACCATTCGTTTTCAGTTCTAGGGACAACGGGCATTCCCTAAGCTTCTCACTATTCTGTATTATTGCATTACTGGTTAAATTATGTTGGGTTAGATTATATGAATATGGCTAAGACAAGAAGAGGTGCTTTCGTGGAGGAACTTTTTAAAGGAAACTGGCTCGTATTCACATTACACATGAAGAAATCCACGAAACGAAACCATGTAGCCAGCCCGTTCCGCCTGGGTTTGAACACCAGGCAAGAGTCGAACTACCAGTATTCCAGCGGTCTTAATCACTCGGGCCACTGCTGAGGACATTTGCCTGATTATTTCCTATATGTTTCGCCATTAGGTTCTGCATGGAAAAGGAGGGATATCTCGTGGAAAAAACTGTAAGGAAATTTTCGTATACGGGGAAAATCATGGAAATGCTCATACAGCCAGCCCATTCACCTATACTTGACCCTCGGACCGAACTACTAGCGCTCAGCGGCGTTTATTGCTCAGCCACTAATGGGACCATTGCATATAAAATATGGGCTATTGCCAAAAGGAAGTATTCTGAAACGATTATACAGAATATGGGCTATTACTGAGCGTTATTCGTGCTTCTTGTCTTGTTTTTCATACTTCCTATTTCATAAGTAATTTTAAGGGTGTCCGCCGATAACATCGCGGCAAAATCATCGCGAACGAAAACGTCGCAGAGAAAACAACGCAAGGCGAAAACGTCGTGCTACAAAACATCGTGGGAGAAAACATCGCAGTTCTAAAACATCGTGGTACAAAACATCGTCGTCGAGAAAAAAAGCGGTTAAAAAAACTTCGCAGCTTCGAAAATATCGTGGTAAAAAATAAAGTATCTACAAATCATCGCATGACGATAACATCTCAGACATGCTTTTTTTAGGTTTTAATAACTGTAAATGGATATTC